AAGTACTTATCAACCATTAACAAGTCTCCGCAAGATTCCACCAGGAATTTCTTGTCTCCCTCAAAAACAGGTTGGGCAATGACACTAAAATCCATGGAGTCCATATTAAAAACCACAGTCCTACCAGTATTATCAACTGCATAAAAGCGACCATCTTTGGTGATCACGTCATCGTAGGGTGAACTCAGGTCGTTGATGATTGTCCAATTCGAAGCACCTGATCTATAAACAACCAATCTCCCGGAAACATGAATGGTTAAAAGCACGAACCCTGACGAGTGTTTTTCCGGACACAAGGCGACCTTCTCCATATACAAATTGCCAGCCTCACCAACTGAACTAGCCAAAGGCCTGGAATTTATGAAGTGAAGAGTGTACTCTTGCCCCAATTCGATAATGGGGTATCGCGAGACATCAATACATTTTGGGAAATCCGAAGGCAGCGGCTTCAAATGAGATCTGGAAAGAGGATTCAGCAATCGCAATCGGTGCGGGGAATCAGAACCGAGCTTAACAATCCAGGAATTGGATGCGGAGGCGGTTCTGTCATGATCTCCGGGTGGTCGGATCAAGTAAATGGTGCGCCTTAAGAGCTTAAAGCCCCAACTAGCATCAGAGATTCCGTCATTTGGAATAACGGGAAAGCGGGTCGGGCAAGAGCGGTAGGGTTTCTCCGGGACGGAGAATCGCCAGGAAGAGCAGACGGAACGGAAGCGGATGAAATCGATTTCAGAACTTATGTGTCTGGCGATTAGGTCTATAAGATCTGGAGGGAGCTGAGACCACCTAGACATTGATGTATGAAGCAGAAAATGAAGAATTTGTTAAATGAAGGGGGAAACCCAGTCTTACAGGCCGTTGTAATTCCCCAGTCTTAGAAACGGTACCAAAAGACAAATTCACGAGCCCAGATTTGGAGGTGCCACCTTTTCCTCATCATATTACGGAACTAACTTTTTAGGTAGCCGTTTGGAACCTACGAAAAAGGCTTATAAGCCTTAAAACACATGTGCATTGGGCTGTTTGAGCTGATTTTCCTTATCAGCCAAAAAAGTAACAAAAGAGTTACTTTTTGAGCTGAAAGTTATTAGTTTATTGTGGAAACCCAAAAATACTTGTTTGCCCTTCAATTGTGCCTGTTAATTATAGCTTGAGTTTCATGTACTCACTCTGCTAGCTGGGCCTGATCCGTATTCACCAAGGTAAGATTGATGAGCTTTTCTTCTTTAAATTTTCCTTTGAATATAATACTCCTTTTGTCCCGTTATGATTGTCCCATTTTACCTTTTCGGTCCGTCCCACTAAGATTGTCTCATTCCTTATTTGGTAAAATTTGTGTGGTTCTAAAGCATTCTTACTTTATTCTTACTTTATCAATTCAATATCAACTACATAAACCCACTTTTATTAATAACCGTGTCACCTTCTCTTGACCCAAACTTAGGGGATAGAGGTAGTACTAGTAAACCAGGAATTTTGTTCATAATTATACACTAATACGTGTCACCTAGGCTTTAATGCTTTATGAGATCTGCCTAACTGTTGTCTTACAAAATTTTGAAAATTGGTTAATCTTTTACAAAATCAGGTAACTTTTTTAATTTATCTACTACACATAATTGGAAGAGAAGAGAAACTGGAATTATGGTTGCATTTAAGTTGCTATGATCTCATTTAAAATAGACAGTAATTGTAAGATAAAGTTGCTTCATGTGTAGTGACCATATATTTAACTTAAATACCCTTAATGGTAATTTTACATTCAATCAACCATTCCAACCAATATCATCAAACACTTTTACTTTAGTAGATTCAGTCTTTTCAGACTTTTTCAGTCTTTCCAGCCATTGCAGCTGCTACCAAACACATTAGAATAATTAGCTAAGTACCTTTATTGTGTGATAAATGATTTCCCAAACAAGAATTCTCATGTTCGAGTCTAATTTCAATTAAGAATGTTGATATTTAGAGGGTGTTTGGATCTGATTCTTGAAACTGCTCCCAGAAAGAGTAGAAACAGAAGTTGGAGTGTTTGTATGAAAGCGCAGAATTGATTTTGGTTCTCTAATTTACTCTTAGAAACAATTTTTTTAAATGCTAGGAGAGACCAAATTCTGATAACTGATACTGATTTTTCTTCTACTTTAAAAAAGAAATAATCAGTTCCAAACACACCTATAATAGGTTTATAAGATTATTCCGAAAAAAGAAGGAAGTATCAAGTACTAGCATCATCTAATCAAAGACAAATCCAACAAATATTACACCATTATCATCACCTCCTTTTTCAACCATTCTCGGTTAATGTGCTACTCCACACAATTAAGAAAAATTATACGTAGTAGCTAGCACGACCCATCATCTTTATGTGATGGAAATTGAACCCAAGACTTCACAGTAAGGTTTAGGGTTGAGTGTTAGCCGAAGTGATTTTTTTTTTTGACAGAAAACTAAAAGAGCCAGGCAGATTCGAACCAGAACATAGTAAAGTAGTGAAAGGGACTTCAGCCACTAGGTTACAGAACTCACTCATGTTAGCCCAAGTGATTGAGCAACTGTTAAATACGTTTTCTTATATCTAAAAAAATCTATTTTCTTGTCAAGGCTTCCTTTTAAAATAAATACTCCGTATAAGTTTCTTTCTAATAAATCACATGCTTATTAAAAATAATCAAATGACTCTCAATTAGTATAATTTAATTAGCTCTCAACGATTAAAAAAAAAATTAACCAGCTTTCATGATTTATACAATTAAGCACGGTCGCATGGGCAAAGCCACCAGGGTTCAAAAGTGTTCACTCGATATATTAAACCGAAAAGTGTGGTTATGATTCATACTAGCTTAACAAATTTGAAAAAAAAAATACACCCTCTGTTTCACTAAGAATATTTGATATTTTCTTTTTTCAGTTAATCCTGTTAAGATTGTTAATACTTAATACTATGTTTGATAAAGTTTATGTGGTTTCAAATTATTATTATTACTTTAATTTTACTTTACTTATTCAATATCAATCATATAAATTCGTTTTTAATACATGTGTCACCTCATCATATCTCAATGCAAATTGAACGAAGATAGTAAGTATACATAAGTAAATAAAAAAAGGCCTAAGTAAATTTAGTGTAACTATTTATTGTTTTTGAATTCTCAATTGTGAGGGAAACATTTAACTACCAAAATGCAAATTCAAAATCCGTCACTGCAATCAAGTACGTTTACTTGATGGATATTAAAATAAATTACTCCAAATAAGCAGAAAACATAAACAAAACGTTGAATAGACCACTTATATTTTATTCACAAAATGTAACTTGCTTAATAATCATATATTTCGTTCATCCGCCGTCGACTTTGTCGAGGGGCGAGAGGATGGGATTGTCCGGCTGATTGTGGATATCAGTTCGATTTTGGAGGCTTCGGGTTGAAAGCGGTTCAGCGGAGTCGAGCAACAGCTGCTTCGGGAAGACGAAACTACTAGGGCGCAGCGGCAAACCAGGGTGTGGCGGCAGCGATTGGTTCGAGGCGGCCAGATCGGAGGGGGTCGTGAACTGTGGGGAGGTTCGAGAGAAGGTTAAGAGCCAGTTTTTGCATGGAAAGCTTCGTGCATAAGTACGAGAGTGTGGCGATTGAGACAGAGGAAAAAGACCTAGACCTAGACCTTGATGATTTCGATGGTGAAGACGTTCCGGTAGAGGAAAGCAGTTTGGGGTTTCCGGTGGTCGGATTGCTATTGACTGACAGGAATGTCAGATTTCCAGCCCTCAAAGAGCTTATGTCCTCGTTGTGGAGGCCGGGGAAAGGAATGGCGACCAAAGTACTTGGTGAGAAAAGGTACCTATTTACTTTCTATCATCGTTTTGATATGAATCGTGTGCTTGAAGAAGGTCCTTAGCAGTTTGAGTGTAATCTGTTACTGTTAAAAGAAGTTAAACCTGATGATATTCCGCATAAGATTGTTTTAAATGAGACTGATTTTTGGGTTCAAGTTCACAACGTTCCCTATAGCCTAGTTAATTTAGGTACTGCAAGGCGGATTGGAAATTATATTGGTAAGTTTATAAAATATGATGATAATCATAATAGTGAGGAGTGGGACTCTTATATGATCGAGAATCAGGGTGTGCATGAACATGGATAAATCTTTGAAAAGGGTACGAATCTTTAAAAAAGAAGGAAAAAAACTTTTGGGTGGATTTCAAGTATGAGAGGTTGCCCAATTTCTGTTTTATATATATGCGGCTTAATTGGGCCATCAGATAAGTTTTGCCCTGTGAACTATGAAGAAGATCTAGTACTAGACAAAATTTTGGGGTCCATCTTAGGGTAGGAAGAGGGGTGAAGACTAGCCCAACAGGAGGTGGTAAGTGCTACTGCAGGGTTCATCGAGCTCTGGCAAGAAGGGTGAAGGGGGGAAAGAATCTATGTCAGAATCAGCACAAAGTATAACTAAAAGAGTGGGTGCGGAAACGAAAGAGGAAACATCGGGGGAGCAAAAGAGAAGGATTTGGGAAGCCCAGGAAGGAGACAAGATTGGGGAAGATAGCATGACTCTTGATGGGAAAAAACGGGGAAGGGGCAGACTTCGATCAGTAAGTCCGCCGAAGTTGATATAGTCATAAGGGATGGGAAGAGTTCGGGTGCTCGTGGGGCTTGGCGGACTCAGACAGAGTTTCAAGTTTATTTGTTTTTTATTTCTTTTTTAATGACAATTTAGTTTGTTGTGTGGTGTTTCTTGTGGTTATTGTTCCTTTTTGTAAGACAATTGGTTTGAATGTGGGTGATGAGAGGATTGCGGTAATCGTATTTGGCTCATTTGTGCCCATTAATGGATCACCGAATTATATTGATTCTTTGGAGGTGATTAATTCTGAGTCTGGTTCGTGAGACGACGGTTGTCGGGAATCTTTTTATCAAATTACCTACTATATGAATGATGTGTTATCGATGTAAGTTTATTTCTTCCACCGAAAAAAGAATCATATAAAAGATGTACCTTGGCCTTCAATATTCGACTCATTGTTTGCTTGATTTGATTACAAAGAATTAAATAATTATCTGAACAAATTAGTATCGCTAAAAGGAGTATTTTATGTGTCTACTTCTACTACTGAATAGTTGAGTCCCTCAGTCTTCTGTCAAGAAGGGCTTCAATGGAGTTGAAACGCACAAAAGCAACGTGGCATAATCTCCCAAACCTTGCAATATCCAACATCTTCTGCAAGTCCTCCATTGAAGATCGCCTCTTCAACCTTCCATTCGTATGCAAATCATGGGCCCACGTTTCTCGCGACCCTCGTTGCTGGGCCTCCATGATCGCCGACACTCACCCCCTCTCCGCCGATGATGCATTCGTCAAAGCCTCCTTTCCGTACAGCTCCGCCTTTCCCGATCCATTCCGCGGCAGTCGTAGCGGCGGCGTCCTCCGCCTTCAAATGCTCATGGACAGAGCCGGCAGCGGAGCGGCCATCACCTCTCTCTTCGTATATCCCTTTCTCAATTCCGTTGGTGGGCCTAGCAATGACGACGACGTTCTCACTCTGATCGCCTGCCGGTAAGACCTTAAATTTGCAATTGAATGAAAAATCGAAGATGAAACTGAAATCGATCATTCGATTTTTTAATTTCTGGATTCGATTCATCTGAAATGCGTTTGTGATTCTGTGCGTTGTAATGGTGACAGATGCCCTAACCTGAGAAACTTGTCATTCCATGGGTCTTACAATGGCAGTGAAGGAGTGATCCTGGAGCTGATAGGGAAGTGCCGGAAATTGGAGGTCATTGACTTTTCCGATTCGCCCTACTTCACCCCTGCAGTTTTAGAAGCGGTGAAGGGATGTTGCCCTGACATTAGGGGGATCAGAAGGAACGGGGAAGTTGATAGCCAATTTTCATCCCATCTCGTCTCTTCTTCTTATTCTTCTGGGTTTTCAGATTTGAGGCTAATTAACCTCTCAGATTCAACAATTGGGGACATGGACCTGTTAAACATACTGTGTATGAAGAAGCTGCAGTACTTGGACATCACACGCTGCCAGAATCTGGTAAAGTACATGGACCTCATCAAGAGAGCTCATGGCCGGATACCTGAAATTTGCTATGACTAAGTAAGAGAGTTTGTGTAGGATCAGTGATTGCAGAGATGATTTTTAGGATCACGATGCTCTTGAAGAGTTGAAGTGCTTTTGAGAAAACAGCATCAATATGAGATTATGTTATAAGCAGGTTTAATGTAAGAATTAGTGATCCGGCCAGCCGGACAAGACTAGCTAGCTGTCCGCCCGAGGGCTTTTGGGTTACTTCCGGATGTAATTTTTCTATGCTTTTTTTTTAGAAAACATGTTATACATCAAGTCTAGTTTATTACTTTATTCATACTAAATTTCAATTAAAAATTCAGGAAGACAGACCAATAAATTGTTGAAACAAACTACGCCTTTTATTTTATATATATAAAGCACATTTTTTGTAAATAATTTATTTGAATGTCTTACAGATTGAATGTTTAGCCGAAATTTGGTATTAATAAAATAGACTTGATGAAGAACATACTCAAAAAAGTTCATTTAATAAAATCCACTGAGAAGGGCCCCAAATGACCTCAATTTGACGGCGGTTCCCGTTAGGCCGGCCTGATATGATCTGTCCTCTTAATGTAATACTCCTAAATAAATGGTGTTGGGATATATTATCCCGGCCTATTACTGTTCAAGAGCCCAAGACATTATCCAGTACGGAGCCCGAGCAGCTAGGCCCATTTCGGCCCATCCGGCCCACTTTGACCACCAGGCCTGATATCGGCCCATTTGGCCCATTAGGGTGGAGAGTCCCTTCTCTCCTTCCCCTATAAATACGGAGCTTAGCCTCCATGTAAAGGATCCCTTTTTCCCTTCTTCTTCTCCCTCCTTAGCTAGATTAGAACTCCATTAATGGGAGCTTCAAACAAATTGTACTATGTAATGGTGAGGAGAGTCCTAATGAGAAAGAGAGGGCTTGGACATTAGCCTAAAAAGTCCCGTGGTTTTCTCCCTTTCGGGTTTCCACGTAAAAATTGAGTGTTCATACATATATTTACTATATCGTGTTGGATTAAACTCAACGATCAGCGCCCCAGCGCCATCGTGTCTGGTTCTCGTTAGGGTCGCCCATCCCTTCCAGGATGGCGACGAACGTTTCTTTATGCAGCACGATCAGCGCCCCAGCGCCATCGTGTCTGGCTCACGTTAGGGTCGCCCATCCCTTTTAGGATGGCGACGAACGTCTCTTATGCAGCACGTCTGCCCCTCGATGCTGACATGCCCGGTTTATCGGCGAGAGCCACCGCTTTCTATCACATCTCACATTTCTTCTCTCATACATTGCACCCATACATTACATGCATTCATGCATTCATGCATCATACCTCATACATTCATACATACACACGTGCGTCATGTTTTGACAGTACCGCGACGTCGGTTTATAGATGCATGGACCTCTAAGCTTCTCCGTTGGAAAGCTCAAGTCAGAGTCCTTTACTCTCGCCTGATGCATTCAGGGGGAGCGTGCCCGTGGAGGAGCACCCTTCGCCCAACCCTGTCGGGAAGGGGGGTGCCTCACCGGCAGATTACGTTCAGGAGTGTGGACATCCACTCATGTATTATGATTATTCGAAGACACAGGTTCCAGCTAGACAGAGGCAGAGCGCAGGCAAGAATATACTTTCTCGAGCAGATTCGCGCACTCACTACTCAAGAAACTGGGGGACTTGTGTTGGGATATATTATCCCGGCCTATTACTGTTCAAGAGCCCAAGACATTATCCAGTACGGAGCCCGAGCAGCTAGGCCCATTTCGGCCCATCCGGCCCACTTTGACCACCAGGCCTGATATCGGCCCATTTGGCCCATTAGGGTGGAGAGCCCCTTCTCTCCTTCCCCTATAAATACGGAGCTTAGCCTCCATGTAAAGGATCCCTTTTTCCCTTCTTCTTCTCCCTCCTTAGCTAGATTAGAACTCCATTAATGGGAGCTTCAAACAAATTGTACTATGTAATGGTGAGGAGAGTCCTAATGAGAAAGAGAGGGCTTGGACATTAGCCTAAAAAGTCCCGTGGTTTTCTCCCTTTCGGGTTTCCACGTAAAAATTGAGTGTTCATACATATATTTACTATATCGTGTTGGATTAAACTCAACAAATGGGAAATTTAGTAGAATATGACTAAAACCCAACGAGTTTCTCAATCTATGACCTAACTAGTTTTAAGACTTTTCTATGACCAAAATTCAAAAAAATAAAAAAGAATTCGTTTATATTTAACGGTTAAATGACGAAAATACCCTTATTTAAAATATGGCATTTTGTACAAATGTCGTCCAGTTAAAATTACTGCACTTTATATTGATGTTACTGCACAACACTAATGCACGACTTTATTGCACATCCGGTAATAATCACTGCACTTCCGCCAAAATTAATTCCCTTCTCATTTACTTGAGGAATTTATTTTTAGTTTTTATTTTTTATTTTTTCTCAATCGTCCAATTAAAATTACTGCATTTTATATTGCAGTTACTGCACTTCATTACTGCACATCTGATAATAATCACTGCACTTCCGTCAAAATTAATTCTCTTCTTATTCACTTTAGAAATTTATTTATAGTTTTTATATTAATTTTTTTCGCATTTCATGGTGACAATATTGCTCTGGGTTATTGCCTTACTAATCAATGCACAACAAACGTTTTCAATGCAATCATTCACTATTATGTACAATATTATTTATTGTCATATTCACCGGCCATAATCAACATTTATTGTTATGTTCACTGCCAACGTTCAATGCCCATGTTCAATGTCCATACACCCTAAATTCAACAAACCTCAATCTAAAAAATGGAACAAATAAAAATGAGAACGAAGGCAGAAGTTGGGGCCTACCAATCCCACGTTCAATCTTTCTCCCTGTAATCCCATAACTCATCTCCATGATATCGGTCATTGGCATCATGTGACCATTCCTTGCAACCAAGCTTTTATAGCTTCAGATCCTTCAATCCGATTTAATTTTTTCCTGTTGCAAACAATGAACTCTCAATCAAGGGTCTAGGTCAGGTGAATTCCAGAGATGACCGGCGACACAAGCTTCTCTCAACGCATCAACGTCCTCCAACTAACGGCAACGGCGGCCGCTTTCATTTATGAGGGTAATTAGTGACTATGGCCTGATTTAATTTAGCCGGAAGAGACATGGATTAATCCCACGCTATTTGCTGAAAGAGATGGATGTACCTAGATGAAGGCGATGTAGAACGATGGAGGCGATACACCATGAATATGGATACGACGTTAGAATGAGGGGATTATTAGGGTTTAATAATGATAGGTTAGGGGCATTTTAGTCACCATAAAGTATTTATTTATTTATTTATTAAAAGTTCTCTTTAAGTATTACGTAATAAGTATTATTTGGGGGAAGAAACTCCTATGGTCATACATTGAGAAAAGCTAGTAGTTTTAGTCTTACGCTTGATAAATTTCTCTAAATAAATTTCTCGTTTTCTCTCTATGAATTTTTTAAGAGGGTGTATTGTATTAGGATTTAGTGTCAAAATTTTAAAAGTACATGGATTTTAAAAGTATTCAATGTAGACTTTTTTGAATCTAAAAAAGTCTAGATGTATTCAATTTCTTTTTAAAAGTCTATAAATATCTAGGTGTATTCAAACTTTTGTTCATTTTTTTTACTTCTAAAACCATGGATTCTTGTGTACTTTTAACTCATTTCTAGGACAAAAAATCTCCGCAATTATCTCTTCCCCTCACCAAAGATTTTCATGGACTTTTATGTTTTCTTGTATTCGTCATAAGTACGCATATTGAGAAGGTCCTAGACCGGTACCGGTCGAGTCGGGAGGTGAGTACCTCCTGGATGGTCTCAATATGCATGATTTTTTTGTCATCAAAACATCTCAATATGCAAGATTTGAAAATTAAATTCTGATTTTTTTATCATTTTAGGATTAAAAAAATTATTAAGAGGATTCTACATTAATATTGATACATAAGATAAACTTTAATAAAATGATTTTTTATATATCATCTTACGAAGAAAAATGTAGGGGTTGAGATCAATTCAGTTCTTGAAAGAAAATTAATTAAGAACCATTTGAAGAACTGTTAATTCAATATCGATTTGATTCTAGAAGTTTTTAGAAAAATCAATATAAGAATTAATAAGTATATTAGTATTATATCTATGCAATTCTGATATGTTTTCAATTAACCATTAATTATTATTATTGTGTTTCATCGGTAAACCGCTAACACATTAAAATATAATTTCAAATTAATAAATATTTAATCGTAATGAAATAAACAAAGTTTAACAAGCTAATAATGAAAATAAAACAATTATTAAAACAATTATTAAGCCCAGTGCCATTTGTGTAGATAAAATTACGTGATACAAAATTTCTTGATCCATAACAGTAAGACAATGCCCTAATTTTTGAAATGATAACATACAGGACACTAAATAGAAAAGAAAATATCACAAATGCCCCTCCACCCTTTACAGTATCACCATTTTTCTCAAACAACCAATTTTTGCATTTGTTTAAATAAAGGCCCAAATTCTTATATCACTCACGGGTAATTCTATATACAACCCATAAATTACTAATCGCAGCCACCAATTTAAATATTAATAAATAAACTAATTCAATGTCTAAATTGCCCTTGTAACGGCATAACCATCGTCGCTTTAATATCATTGTGGCAAACTATCTTTCACCACACTCCACGAGTGACAGATGAAGGAAGACGAAGACTCCGGAATGCCTAAAGCTGCCAAAATGATTACCCTAGCTGATATCTTGTAGAATTTTGCATCTTCTTTGGAGTTCATCAAACCTGCTATCATTACCAATTACAATAATTTGAAAGTTCTTCTCAACTTCTCATTGTTTTTTATAATCCGCCGGATAAATGAAAATAATCAAATTGAACAGGAATCACTAATTCTCTACTCCACATTATCTTAAACATCAACAAGAAGTCCTCTGAAGAATATAAGAATTGAATTTTAAAATTTGCTCATCACAATATCATAAAATAAAATTCTGATGAAAGAAACCAATAAGTGAAAAAATAGTAGAAACTTTCAACTTAAGAGCTACAGAGTATATATCTACCGTTTACATCTAAAGCAAGGATTCCAGACGTTTGCCTTTGTAAGTCTTGTTCGGAAGAGTCAAAAGTAAAGCAAAGCAACAAAAGCTGCTGAAATTTGAGGAGAAAATGGAAGCTTCATCCTCCTACTACTTTTCGGGAAACACCGGTCACTTCCTCTTTCAACCCGATTCATCGGCTTCGTTCCCCTCTTAGTCTATTTGCCTAATCAATCTTGTACAACAGGAAGCTATTGCGGATCGATCTCGAATGA